TTAAACGGACCTCAAATCGGACCGGTTGTACTCATTTTAACTTTAAGTTTTAAAAACCCTTTTTCGTGGATCACACTATTTGTATCAATGTATTGGTCTGCGCAATAAACACTCCCTTTAAAAACACGTGAGGAAACAGAGATGATTTCGACATGTCTTAGGTGGCATGTGTCAGGTACTGTTAGCTGAACACCTACTTACCGATTAAGAAAAAATTATCATACAAAATTTTAACCAACACATTGGACTTTTAAATAAATAAAATAATATAGCGGATCAATCTAGTCAAATCGCGACGGTATTTAAAAGGTTTTTTTAAAAGTAAACTTTATTAAGGAATATTACAATTAGTATTCTTAACTATAGTCGATGTTAGACTCTAATTCTAAGGTGGTCGATGCAAGACCCTATTACTACGGTGGTCGATATTAGATTGATTTGAATATAATTCTATTCTTACTGCTAAAAACCCTTACATGATAACTAAGCATTCGTCGTACATGATAAAATAATAAAACTAAGCATTCGTCGCAGTACTTGGATTAACGCTTATGGTGCGTTCTGGGTATATGTGTGACATTGTAACTATCTCGTACACAATTCGTTCGTTACAACAACAATACAAAATAACGTACTTGAATGTCAATGTTTTCATATTCCGAACGGAATTTAAAATTATTTTCATAACAAACTTTAATAGGAATATATCAAAGTGTCACGGTCATATTGAAATGGGACAACAAAACTTCGCATCCATTTGTTTCCACATTGGAATACAAAGTTTTCGTCTCAAAGTTTCAGGTTCAGAAATATCCCTATGTATGTTATATAACTTAATGTGACAGTCACCTGATCATAAATGATAGCCACCAAGGACTCTCACATTTACGGCCTTTAGAATTGGTACGCTCTTTTCTTGATGCATTGCACATAATAAATGTTTACTATCAGGTGTTATGATACATATACGAAAATATGCGTGCTCTTATTTCACCATACCTCCCGCTGATAGAGGATAAATCATTGTCTTTAATTTAATTTATTATTATTAATTAACTATTAATTGCTTAAGATATCATGTGGAACATGGTGTAATGGTTGCAGCTCCTTATAAATATTGTGTTAAACAAAAAACTTGGCGATTAAAGAGAGTGGTGGAGAGTTTATTGCCAGTTCTTCTCTTCCGTTCTACGCCCTTTATTTGAGATCTGGCAGTAAATTAAAATGTAAAATTAGAAGCATTTAATATGTATTTCTTTTTTGACGTTCCTAAGTGTAGGTACATTGTGTTACCTATATGGAGAAATCATTTTGGTTTGATTTGATATAAAACTGAAGAAAATTTATCTATAAAATTAAAATTAAACATAATAACTCGACAAAACATGCAACTTCCTGGATTAACTATAAACTATGTTGCCATGCTAACAAACAATAACTCACAATTAAATAAGTAACTGAATCACTCAGAATAATGTATATTTCTACTGGTATATTCGCATCGTTGACGAAGCTTCAGAGATCAAAAACAAACTCATACACAACCCTTTACGATATAGAACACTATCGTAAAACTAGCAATGAAAATACGCTTTCATCCCAAAACTAACATCGCATATGAAATATTTGAAAAGCATAGGGTGACCCGGTCGCAGGATTTATTTGAACCGACATCACGATTTTAATACGACCGCACTTTTATGATTCCATAAAGCGTCATGCTCTAGTTTCAGTGTTTTAAAATCCATATATTTTTAAAGCAATGGTGCTAGTATTAGCTGCCATTGTTATTATATGTCACAGAGCTTCTATATTAACAACGTCAAAGTCTAATCAGTTTGTAAGAAGAACCAGAGTATCGCTTATGGTTTATTCGATTTACCAATATTAATAGACCTACAAATTACTATTTCATAGTTTATAGTCATTTCATAGTTTATAGTCATTTCATAGTTTATAGTCATTTCATAGTCCTGTATATGTTTGCCGAAAAGCCTCGTATCCGCTCACAGAAGTCGCCCCGATTAAGTGTCAAGTGTCACTTGTCAAGCGTCACATGCTTATGGATTTAACTTCGACCAATTCAAAACATCGAAGAAGTGGCTTAGGCCTTATGACCGAGAATAATAAGACATGACAACAATAAGACAAGACATGGCTTCGGCATTAAGATCAAGAACAATGAAGACGTGGCTTCGGCCTTTAAAACTACCAAAATTCTCCAATTATTACCAAGAACAACAGGATCTGCGACTAACGGTGCACGTTTTGGTGGAATCCAACGTTTATTAAATTAGGACTGCAATAAGTACCGTATCGTAAGTTTGACAGTTCTCGTTAATTATTATAGTTAAGTTAACTATTATTATACAAATTTATTAATGCTAAATATGAATCATGACAAAAAAAACTAGTGAAAATGCCACTATATGCCTGCGTGATGTCAAAAAACCGTAAAGAACATGCGTGAAAGTACAAGTACATTATAATGCAAATTTTATTTATAGGAATGTGGTTCACATATGGTTAATATTTTTCCCCTAATCGTAAAATATAATTCGTGTATGCCTTAAAAATTTCTGTACGACTGGTAGCACGCTTCCCGTTAACACATTGATGCTAAAAACCAAGAATCATTTGTTTGTAAACATTAGATATAGATTCAAGAACGCAGATGATTGACTACATGATAAATGTTCCATTCGTTTTGCCGCTGAAATATTTTTATTTGCGGAACTGGTTATGATTTCTTGATACTAAAGTGGTTTTGTGCGTAATTTTCGTAAATCACGAATAATCTGCTCGTAATCGTAAACAACTTACAGCCTATTAATGTTCTTCATAAAACTCATATGTGCGTATATAAGTTATTGGGTATAAAAATAAGCGATTTGTATGTATAGAAGATTCTTTGATCGACCAAATCGCCTTTTGTTTAACCGTGAGATTTTTAGCTCTGATTTCGATGTTCAAATCCCGGCTAAACATATGTGCCACTAATACCTGTACATGTTTATAGACGTATGTCTAAAATATCTTGAACAGACTAAATACAACCCTGCTGCATATTGCATAAGAACAAAGAAAAGCTTATGACGGCTAAGAAAAGGAAACATGAATATTTCGGTCACGGCGTAACACCAAAAAATACGAGCTCCTTCAACTAATCATACAAGTCAAAGTGATAGGTGAGACCTAGCCACAGACGCACGTCTTGGTTGAAGGATCTTAGACAAAGCACCTAGTAATTGTTTAAAAGCGCGGCATCCTAAATTAAAGTAGCCATGATGATAGCCAACCTCCCAAAAATATGGCAATATAAGATGAATACTTGTACGGTAAAATTATTATGCGGAAACCGGAATATTCAAGTCGAAGTTTTCTACCATTAGACTTTTTTTGTATGTTATAGGAGGCAAACGGGCAGGAGGCTCATCTGATGTTAAGTGATAGTGCCCATGGTCACTCACATTGCCAGAAGTCTCGCAACTGCGTTGCCGGCGAATGAATCGATTGCCTATAAATGACAAATAGTTATTGAATTTAAACAAAATTAATGCAATGAAAAACTTACACCGCTACTATTTATTAATAACTTCGTAATGTATAATATTTCCTCAATCTGTACAGAATAAACAAGAGCATTTAGTCTATTTGGCGCGTGTTTCGAGTACCAAGCATTACGTAAAGCAGTATCGTCCTACATTAAGTGCTGGCATTCAACGCTTTGCGGTAACATAGTCCGCACTGAATTTCGGACGATTACGAAAATGTCCGCAATTAGACGCGCTTCAGTGGAGAGCTTTACCGCGTGCTACGGCTAAAGCAACTGATTACTCAGGTTTAAAGGATAAGGGGATTTAAATTACGAAATTCAACCAAACATTCTTACGAAAAAGCCTTGTAAAATTTACAAATCTTCGGGCCTTAAGTTTTGATTACGTTCATTTATAGTATTGGTATTATCAAATATAGGAAGGAGTTTTTATTTTTTTTAACTATCTCAAATTTGTAGCAAATCTTTTACATTTAGATTGATCACTGTTAAAATAATAAGAGACAAATCGTGTCTATTGGAAGTTCTACCAATACAGATGGCGAATACCGCATCAGAATCGATACAGCGAGAATCACACACTTAAAAGAAAATATACTGTGATTAATTGAAACGCCTTGAACAAAAACTAACCTAACTTTAATAAATATATTTTCGTTCCTTTTCGTTTACTCCCAGTGGGGCAGAAACAGACACATTTCTGCGTCTGTTTCATGCATTTTTTGTTTTCCAAGCTGAAACAATTATTGTTTCATCTAAATTCTACCAAGGGGGGCTATACGTTAGTGCGTAAACGTTAACAAATTTTTACTATTGTCACCACGTTTAATTTTTCCTATTAAACATTGGACACGTAGTTTTTGGCACCAAATTATCGCTATAACTCCATATTATACTCCGGAAATAATACAATAATATCCTCCTAATATAAGCTAAATTATATGTTTATAGCCAGTTTTATGAATGGTTCATTGAGTTGATAAAAGCATAAAATTATCATAATGTTCTATTGTCTAGCGTCTTTATTGTCACCGACAATTATGTCACTCCTATACTAATATTATTGACATATTTTTGTATGTATTTTGTATGATTTAAAAAAAACTCACTATACACTATATTGTCCTTAATATAGGCTCTATAGTCTATATATTTACAAAATATTACTAAAAAAATATCCAACTATCGAATCCGGAGCAGACAGCCACTATTATATATTTAGATTATTAATACGTAAAGTTCAGTCATAAGACACCGAGGTTAAGACGTTTACTAGGTCCTGGGTTTGATGTCGTTATAATAAAAGTTACCAATTTGTAAAATAATATATGATAAATAAGAAAGGTGATTGGTGAAAGTAGCTCGCGATTTTTAAAGGAAAGTTGGCGCTTGATTGAAACCCGCAAGGAAAGCAGAAGCGTGGCCGTCTCAAGCAAACCTGGCGTCATACTGTTGCAGATAAACAACGAAAGGCAAAGAGAGATGTGCAAGACCGAACGCGATGGACACTCACTGTGGACTCCCTCTTCCCCATCTAAAGGTTATAGGATATTAAGTCAGGTTACCAGTCATAAAATATATAGAATAAATCTTAAAAATTTAAATTGATAGTTTATACAACATAAACTAACGAAGAGAAAACATAGGCCTTAATGGTATGGTCGTCTTTTGAATAAATTAAATCCACTTCCTATATATCCAAATCAAATACCTATCAATATTATTTAACCTATATTATAAATGTCCAGTCCAGAAATGCGAGATGACCTTTGGAACTTGCGTTGTTAAATTGGGTTCTGATTTAAATAAAAAAAAAGGGTGCGAGTACTTATGTACGCGCGTAAGAAGTTATACTTCTTAGGCATTATTAAAAATAGTTTTTGATTGCATGCATATAATTAATTACAATTAAATAATCAAAGACTGGAAAAGGAGTCATTATAGTCAATAAAGTAAAAATTAAATAAATAAATATTTATTATTATTCTCTTACATTAAGTGTAACATAAATTCTATTATTATTCGAATGTTGTTTTTAAATTATGTCCAGTGCCGTAGCATCTTCCGTGGGCAACTTCATTCTGTTAATTTTGTGTCACGGTGCGCGCGCATCGTAAAATTTCTAGAAGTATAACTTCAAAAAATCGCGATTTAACTCTTACTTTGAAATTTATACATAATATACACGGATTTACAAAGCAACGGGCTTGGTATAAATATATACATCGTATCACATTAAAACAATGTCCCAAAGAGCCAACGTCAGTTAAAGATTAGATTAAATGTTTAAAACTATACTAATTATAGTAAAAACTGTTATATATTTAGCGGGTAAATGTTTAAGCAAACGCTAAAAGTATAAAGTAACAAAGACCTTTTAATTATTTAATAATTAACGAAAGAATTTTAGTTGATCAACAAAGAAACAAGAAGCTTTGCCGCTTCGGAAGATTTAAATCGGAATAAAAGTGTTCAAACAAAGACTTCAAAGTGACAATTACAGAGAATGGGGACAGGTATATTTCATCTTCCATTTTACTATCTTAATTTAGAATATTTGAATTTTCTTCATATTATTTATTTAATATGCGTAATATTTATATTATGGTGATGATAACATATTGTTCTATTCCCGTGCGTCTAACATCCCGGAGGTCGTAGATTCGAACATTGGTTATGCGCCAGTTGACCTATCTTCACAAGTACGCAGTAGACTCAAACTCAAACTATCTTTATTCATATAGGTAAACAAGTACACAATTTACATTTACTACTATTTCGCAAGTCAAGGGCGTAGAGCGGGTAAGAAGAACTGGCAAGAAACATTCCGCCACTCTTTTTAATCGCCAAGTATTGAGTCATACAAATTGTTTGAACTGGAGCAAATCAATCCCAAGGATTAGGATCATTTAAGTATTTGTCAAATTTATAAAAAGCTTTATTAATTAATTTACGTTAAACGAGGGCTTTGAATTTATTTAGTGATAATTCTCTAATGTCGCTTGGGAGTTTGTTGTAAAAACGAATACAATTTCCATATAAGGAGTGGTTTATCTTCTGGAGCGTGGTTGGTCGTACACTCAAATTAGTTGCGTATAATACTGGTGAAAGTCACCAGGATAGTAGGTAAACGTCGTGAGGAAACCGGTATGCATTAGACTGAAAAGCCAACGGCGTGTGTTAGGCACAGAAGACTGATCACCTTCTTGTCTGTTACAAAAGAGAGAGAGAGAAAACAGAGATCTGAAGCCAAAGAAATTTTAATCTCAACTTAAATGTCCGATAGAAGAGAAAGTCGTATTGCATTTCGGGATGGATTGACTTGATCTACTAGATTTGCCCCTTTAAACGCTGTTCAAACTATTAAGACTATATATATATATATATATTGTGTTCACAGTTAAGTTAAGTTGAGTGGGGTTTATATAAATGTTTTTTTATTGTTTGTCTCCTTTAGTAATTTTTTTAACCTTTTTGTAGGTATATATAATGTCCATGGTGTCGACGAGAACACACACTCGTTGTTCGCGAACACAGTCTTGTTTCCGCTACCATAAACATTTAATTGTGCGCACTATGTCAATTTTTTTTTTCTTTTTAAGCATACATAATAGCACACAGACTGCAGCACATGGCACGTTTTCCTGTTCGTATATATTAGCAACTGTCGGCAGAAAATCTTCTCAGTGAACAAGTGTGCAACACAGTTACCACAGCATTGCCGGTGGAGACAGAACCCAAACGCGATACGCGCTTAGTACGTGTTCTGCTATTGTTTCACACAAAATGTGTGTAAATAAAATAGCGTGTATCAATTAGACTGGACCCTATCTACTACTACGAGTACTTTCAGAGCGTAACTATGCTTTTAAGGAATTGATTTCTACAATAGTATCAAAGACAATCTAAAATACAAAAATTAATGTATTAATAAATTCTTATTAACTTACTGAAGGCGCTGTAAGCAATTTGAGGGCTTCACTTAAGTTCTTTAAGGTGAGTGTGTTATTATCTCCATCATCCTCTTCAGGCCCTGGTAGGTGAACGGAGGACTGCCGTGATCGGAACCCAGGATTCCGGCTTCCTGAGCCGTTGGCGAATTGGTGTTGAGATGCGGCACGACGAAATGGACAAGTCATGATGCTTCAGGATGTGGTTTGCGCATGCATTGTTGGGTCCTGAGAAAAATAAATGTTATTAAATTGGGAGTCCGATTCCTTTGACATGGATTAGTAATTTTTCCGCGTTCGTTAATTTTTGGTAATCAATCTTCAACTATTTCGTATTATATTTAGTAGTAAAATAGTACAAACTGGATATTTATATATACTACTAGCTGACCCGGCAAACGTCGTTTTGCCATTCTGGCAATAAAAATAAATCTACTATAATAAAAAATAGGGGTTGATCGTAGAGGGATGACAATTAAGGATTATATGTAATATTGTATGCAGTATCATATAACAATAAAAACAAAAAGTTTTGTCTAAAAAAAATTAGGGTTGGGACCACCCTTAACATTTCGTGGGATAAAAAGTAGATGTCCGAATACCTTTTAAAGAACAGGTACGCTCTTTTCTTGAAGGACCCTATGTTGAAGTGGTTCTGAAATACTTATATATATCAAAATCAATATCACTAGGTATTGAATTCACAATTACAGTGTGAATAGAAGATAATCTTTTTCCAGAATTTTACCTTATATATCTATTAGCTGTATAGACAATATATTATCCTGACCTTTAGCTTATACAAGGAGCTCTTAAGGCTGTACGTGACTAACACGACGTGACGTCACGTGGAGGCCGTACATCCTTAGATATGAAAATCCGTGAGAAAAATGTTTTTATAGGCACAGACAAGAAATTTGTCAAGTTTATATGATATATTTTATCGCCACAACAAAAATTAAGGAGCCATGATGCCTGAGAATTCTCGTGCACCTTTCAACCCTAAGGTCGTGTGTTCGAATTCCGGCTGTGTTGTGAGTTTTAATTGTGCACAGTTAATACTAGTTCACTTGAAGAAACTGACCTATTGGCTGATCACCTATTTGTCTATTAAATAAATAAATCGTTTTTTTTGCAAAGAAAGTGGTACATTATATATAAAAATAGGCATGCAAATGTCATATTAATTTTCATAATGTCATATAATAAGTTTGACAACAATTATAAATAATTAATTTATAATTATTGTCAAGCTTATGATCTAAATATGCGCCCAAACTAAAGGCACCTTGCCGTTTAAAATGTAATCACCTTCCCCTTGAAAGAATTACACGGCAGTGAAGTATAATTTCTAGGAAGATGATTAAATAGTTTGATAAAATAAAGAAAAACAATGGTCACGAAACAGATGGAGAATTCAGAGGCCATGACCTTTGACCTTTTAAACATAGATGCATGTTTGTAGCGCCACTGTTTTTCATTTGCAACAAGATCAATAAAAATAAGTAGTACCTACATGTTAGAACTTTTAACCTTTGTCCTTCCGAACTTAAAAGCTAATCTAACAAATCTTATATCAAGATTTTCAACTGTGATCCCTTCAATAGTCTTATTGCTGTATATAGATTTTGTGAGGCCTAATTTTATAAAATTCAGGTCAATAACATGCACGCAAAGTTAAATAAAGAATTAGAAAATTATTTTTGACGTCACAGTCGTAAGAAATCAACATAAATAAAGTGCGTTTGATCAACAAAAAAATATTGAACTTTTTGGGTAAAAGCAGGCGTGAAGGGGAATGAAAGAGTAGACCAACTGGCAAAGGAAGCTGCGCGAAGAGGCGCCCGTGTACAATACATTCCCCATATCACATTTGAAGAACTGTCTATGTGGAAACACGATATTAAAATGTTAAAAGAAATAGTTAGTAGTCCTTAATCATCCGGGTTACCAATGCCATTTTCTTAAGTTGTGCATATATACGTAATTTATTTAATACCTCCGACGACAACATTGTCGGGGAATTAGCTAGAAAATAAAAAATTACGTTCCAGTTAACGTCACCGATTAATTATAGTACATACAAATCTTATTAACAAGTGCGTTTACATACGTATGCAAAAATATATCATTATTAATAAACAATTATCAATCTTCTTTATCTCGACACCAGGATTTTATATGGAACTAACTGACCCGACAAACGTTGTTTTGCCATGTTATTGCTATGAAACATTGTTTTAGTTCAATAAAAATAACTATCTACAATAATAATAAATAGGGGTTAATCGTGTGGGGTGAAAATTAGTTGTTCGTATTTTTGCATTTTGTATCATAAAAAAATAAAAACAAAAAAAAATCTAAATTTACTTGTTTGAAATACTCTTACTAAATATGCATAAAAAATTTCATAAGAATCGGTCGAGCCGTTTCGGAGGAGTATGGGAACGAACATCGTGACACGAGAATTAATATATTTAGAGACCAGTAATTCTAAAGAGCAAAAATGCATCTATCACATACACTGATAAAGTTATATACATCGACCATTAGGTATTAATATTATAATTAATAAAGCCCATCTGTACGTAATAATAAAATATTAAGTATAATATAAACTAAAACACTAAAGTATCTCTATTAGTATTGTATTTAACTAGACTGTTTTTAATTGGATATGTAAGCTGATGTCTAATTAAACAAATAAAACGGCAGCATTTATTAATTTATTCAAGACGTACTACGGGATAAAAAGTATTAACTCTAAAGTTAATTACAATCGACTCTTCGATACATGAGTGTGTGGATATTGCGATTGGTGCCAAGTAAATAGCAAAATCATGTCCCAGTCGATGCCACGTCCGATTGCTTTCTTTTTATCGTCCCAATTCCAGTGGAATTTCCAAAACCTCAGAGAATTCTGTTTCCGCTTTTTCCGAACAAAGAAAATATACGAAATAGCATTCCCTTTTTCCTTCTGTTACGAAATTTGATGCAATTTCAAAGGAGTGTAAAAGCGAAGAGCTAAAATCACTTTGGAATATTTATCGACTAACGGCCCTGCTCGCTTTTCACTGTTATAGTTTATAATCTGTGCATTTAAAAATGATTTCGTCGATTGATTCAAGTAAGAGATATGAAACAATAAAATAGATAAATTTAGAAGGGGAAGGTTATGGTGCAGAAAGACTAACTTTTCTGCATTTTTAGGAAGTAGTATACTTCTTTTTTTCTCGTAGACCATGCCAGCTCCAGAGAAAAGGCGCTCTGAGTAAACACTACTTCCTGTCGCCGACAAATATTTTGCTGCAATCTTAATCAAACACGGAAATTCAAATTTCCTTGCTTGGCACCATGTATACGGGTTGTCATGACGTGATATACTGTTATATTTAAGAAAAGATCCATTTCTGTTGAAACTGCATTTTTTTCAATGGAAACAATCACGTCTGTATAAGTTTTTGGCGCTAAAATCCAGCTGAATACTTTTGCCTAATATTCGGCTATTGTGTCAGGGGCCTCGCCGAATATTCGGTATACTGCCGAATATACTATTCGTTGCAAGTCTAATTTTAATCATTCTTTTAGTAGGCACCTGGTAGACAACGACACCAGAGTTGGTGATGCTTTTGTCGCAGAAAATACAGCTAGAAGGGTAAACTGACACTGTATCAGATATGATTCCGACTTGAGACTAAACTCTCGTGTCTCAACTCTTAATTTTATCCTAAGTAATAATGCTTGGTCCTAACGTTGTTTAATATCATAAGCAGTGAATTCATCATGTTTTTCACGATCAAAAATCTATATGGATTAATATTAAAAACATACGAGTGATTAGAACTGAGATATAATTTCATAACGTAACAAACTGCTTGAAACTGTGCGGTTTCAACAAATTTAATTTCCTTGAACATCAAGCACATTTTGAACCCACAAATGTAAAGTTAAAATATATTTCAACTTGTACACGAAATTTATTGCAACTTTTGGTAAACCAGAAACTAATTTTATTATGGCAATTTGTTGTATTTCTAGTTGTTTGGTTTTGTATGGAGCAGTATTAATTTCCTAAAGAATAATAATATATTATTATCTCATAATATATTTTAAAACAGAAGTATTTATTTGATCAGTAATACGTCCTAAGCTCATTAATCACTACTACAAATAATAGTTATTAGTTTATTTATTTATTAGTAATCTTACAGCTAGCATGCATATTATAAAACAAAACACTTAGACATTATACAAAGCTAAAACAGATTACATTGATAAACAAATTTTTGGTAACAGAAAACATAAGTACTTTAATAGACAAAAATAAAAAATTAAAGAAAACTGAAATTTAACTATTGCTTCATAAATTGATAGCCTTATATAACATGGTGGAGTGAAACTGCGGAATATATATATATATATATATATATAAGACAATAGTCTGTATTTCAATTGCAAGAGGCTAAATAAAACTTCTATTTGTTTCTCTGTAAGTAAAGAATGCAATTTTATTTATCGAGTAGGTTACACACTGGTACAATCCTTACAAGACTAACACAATCTTACCTGTAAGTAAAGAAACGACAATAAAAGTTCATTGTTATCACCTCTCGATGCATATAGCTTAACTAAGTATGAAATTAATTAACAAATAAAATTAAAATACAATTCAACAATCTCAGCATATTTGTCCTTTACATCTTTGACAATGTCAGCTAGCTTGACGTGACACGACGCGGCGCACTCACGAACTAGCAGTGCGCGCGAATATTCAAATTAAAGAGATCATTCTCTTTACATCTCCCTCCTTCAGGATGAGAATTGCTCCAGTAATTCTCATGGTAGCCGTACATATTATTCAGCGTTATCCATCATTTATTCCACCGTCCATTCGAATAAGTTTTGTTATATGGTATAAGCTTGTATTCGTTTTTGTTCTGCCTGTGTTTATTTTGTATATTGTATTCGATATTTTGTCTGTTATTTCAAATGGGCCGATTCTTAAATTGTCCATTTTTTTCCTATTTAATTTGTTTCCGTTTTCAACATATACCAGTTCTCCTATGTTGAATTCACATTGTCTTCTGCCTTTATCAAATAATTTCTTATTATATGCATGTGATCTAATTGATCTTTCAAGTGCTTGTTGTCTATTTTGAACCCAAGTTTCTGTATCTAATGGTTGTCGT